TCCGACAGCACACAATGGCGAGAATGTCAGCCAGGATTCTTCAGATAGGCAATGGAGTGAAAATTACTGACAGAGATTCAAGGGCGGGTTTTGGAACGATTGTTGACATTAAAGACAATGAGGCTGTTGTGTTTTTGACAACACATGATGTGACAATTACTGTACCCTTTTCGTCGCTTCGAAAACATCTTAAAGTAGGGGACGAAGTGCGCATTCTTTTGGGAGACCACCAAGGTGTTACGGGCTGGGTAGTAAATCAAGACGATGACTATGTGTGTGTCTTCAATGACAGGACCGGAACAGAGGTAAATGTTTCGTTTTTACAATACATACTCTGACAATCCGTCATCTTTTAGGTAGAGGTATCCCCCGGGAATGTCGAGTTCTTCAGCTCCCCCTTTGTCTTCGCAACGGAATCCCCGGAGTCCTTGACAGCGGCACAAAAGTGAGTCATGAAGGGGGACTCGAACAGTCATCTTGTAGGAAAACACATAATGGTAACCCAAGGCAATTTTAGAACTTACCAAGGCAGAATAAAAAGCACAGTTGGTGAGAAAAGGCTTTTGGTTGAACTCGAGGCGCTCCTCCAACACCCACAAATTTTGGACATCTCTGCACTACACATCATGCAAGCCCTTTTGCTTTTTTTTCTTTCTGAAATCGATGCTAATTAGCTTCCAGTGCTGACGAAAGGCTTCAGCCCCCAAGGCCTCGAGAGCTTCTGACCGATTTCTCTTACCCACTTGAACCAGTGCCTCCACCTGGTACTTTGGCAAGCTTTTTGTTCCCTGGTCTGCCCTTGCCGGATCCGCAACCCTCAGCCGCATATCCTGCTGCCCTCATGCAGACTCCGACCATTGCGGGGCCATCTACTCCGCTTCCTAACTCACAAGATATCACATCAGTCACCCATTTTAGGGTACCTATGAGGTACAGTTGAGTGCAAAAAGAACGAAGGTTGGTTCATTTTTCTGGTTCTTTCTAAGAATCTATTGTACCTCAAATGTATTTGTGTATTCTTTTACATTATGTAGTTGTGTTACACTTCCCTTTGTATGGACTAATTTCAGTGAAAGCTGGAGCCTTGAGAAGGTTTTTATTCTGGAGGCCATTTTTGGCATCTGAAAAAAAAAATATGTGCTAACTGGAGAGGTAGTCAGAAAATACCTCTGGTCAACCTGAATGAGCCTATCAAAGAATTAGTCAAAAATACTGAGTGGTTAGGTCTGTAGAGGCTCTGGAAAATG